CCCTGTGTTTGTCCTACAACTAGGACAAACACAGGGACCCGATGGCTTCCCATTAGAGTTTTTTAAGAAACTTTGAGATCTGCCTATTGCCTAAGGATTTGATTTGTAATAATGTAGTTATTCATTCACTTTTCTTTTAACTCTGCTGGTAATCTAGGTTAGGAGATATTTTATTCAGAAATAGCTCACACATGGTTACATTTAATTTCCCCTCGGCTTGAAACAGGTCATAATAAAATGGTTCAAAATATTAATAATTTTTTTCTGGCTCATATATTATGTTTTCTTTTGCAGATTTTATGAAGGGAATCATTCTAGCATTTTCCTTTATCTGTATTTGATTACTGAGCAGTTTATCCGGATTATTTGTCCTTTCAAAACACTTTGTTTCCTCTAGCATGATGTGGGAATTTTTCAGTTTGGTGTCGCCACTGCCACACCAGCCTCCCTGTGTTTTTTTCTCTATGTTTTTCATTGTGTCAATTTCCCCCCTCTCACTTACTCTGCTTTGCCAACATACCTGCCATCCTCATAGCCCAGCTCCGGAACATTAGGTTTGAATAGGCTTTTCCATTTCAGTGGACACTGGTATATGAGCAGCAGCCTGGAACTTGTGACAAGCCAAGCCTTAAAGGAGTTTTTTCTTAGTGCTCAAAATCATTAAATATATTGCTTAATGAAGTGCTAAAGTTAATTTTCACATATAGAGTTCAGACAAATTTGAACAAAATTAAATGCACAATTATGAGATAATCTTCATGATTGAAAGCATGATTTGTAACCTTGAATAAAAACAGTAAAATACAAGCATTATGAAGACCGCATAAGCCTCTTTCACCATAGGTTCCAATTACAGCAAGTTTAAAACTGGACCCAGGCATGATGGCCGCCATATGGTTCCATCAGAGAATGGTAAGTCATTAGAACATGTCAAATCTACCCAGAATCAAACAAACAGCACATACTTTCCTTTGAGGAGAATGCTGAGGCGTTCGTCCACAGAGGTTTTGTCCTCGGCAGCGTAGGCCTGGCCCTTCTTAAGCGTCTGGATGGTGCAGAACTGCCCTGTGAGCCTCTGAAAAAGAGCCTCCTGCACATGGAGGGGCTCAAACATCCGCTTGTAGACTGACCGCAACTCCCTGTCGATCTTAATCTGGCAGAGCACAGTCACAGCCTTGAGTCATCTTTTAATGAAAATCTAACATAGAAATCAAACTTCAGTAATTGTTGATAAGGGAGACCTCTGGGACCACTTGTCTGGGTTGGTGATGATTTAATGACATGGCTCCAATCAAATAGTCAGGGAAAGGACTTCATACCAGAAATCACAATGAGCTACAGTTATCTAATTATGAATCCCACTGCTTTTCTTGAAAACCTGCCCAGCATAGCTTGTTGAAGTTGGGCAGTGACCTCGAGTGGTAAGAGGTCAGGATAGCCCATTGGTCAGGGCATAGGACCTGAACCCATTGAGTTGCTGGTACCTCGCTCAAGCATGGACGAATGACCAATCCTATCTCTTGAATGCTATGCAGGTTAAGTCCTGGCAAGAAAAGCAGTGGGATTCATATTAATGCATTTCAATTCCAATCTGTAGGGGTTGTTTGCATGTGTCTGGTCTGAAATAATCATGGTCTGATTGTCTGAGGAATTACTAAAGTATTGTAATATGCTCATTTAGAACTATTATGCTCATTTCAACAATTTAACAACTGAATTGGCAAATATGTGTGTCCAAGTAATACCAACAAATTAGAATAACTAGTAGGGTGACTTGATAGACAAAATAAATACTTTCAAAGAAAAGTCTTGCATGCTGTAAATCAACTCCAGTACTTGGTAAATGGTAAATTCAATATTGATCTTTACACACTGGTATGCTATTAATGCACAGAATGAGGCAATTCACTGTCAACACAATACAACACATCACCCCGTGCAGAATATCTCTGCTCCTGTGAGCAAAATTATAGCCTGCGAGGAGAAAACCATTCTTTAAGAGTGAGGGGCGTCCGCTGTCCCACGACTTCCATCACTGCTCTCCTGCTCGCGAAACATTCACCTGCTCGCTCGCGAGTAGTTTTTCTTTTTGACAGTAAGTGGGCGGACCTAGTTTTAATTGTATCACTAAATTGTAATAGTTTTCCTTTTTGTAGGCAATAATTAAGGTCATGCATTTAGAGATATTCTGCGCGGAATGATGTGAAATCGCTCGCAAAAGTAATATGTGTGCACACACGACACCTCTACCCACACGTGCACGTGGATCTCATTTGGGTTTACGGATATTGACATTGATTTGCCCTCATATAGAAGAGCACACACAGATCAGCTGCAGCAACTAACCAATGACTGATTGGCTCTGACCTTATTACCCACTGAGGAGTGCTGCAGCACAGGCTTTCCAACAGTTTAGCTGCTGAATGAAGTTGATGAATTTCAGTGACTGAGAAGTACAGGTCTCCTGTCTTATTATGAAAAGTACCGTGTGATTCTATCAACTTGCTGAAGGCCCCTTAATACCGAATTCCTAAGTGGCATTGTATCAATTTTATCTGCATACCATAAAGCAGGACCAACCCCAGGAGGATATGCAACCTCCTACCTGAGATTGGAAATCACTGAGGTTCAACATAAATGAACCTACTGTTCCCCCAACACCTGAAGCCGGTACTTCAATTTTGGTGAAATGTAAAGCGACTGTTATAATGTATATGAGGGCATGCTGATATAGAGTAGAACTCACCGGTCTGCGCTTGTACAGGAGGAAGAACAAGTGCATGAAGTTGACCACCAGAAATACCACATTCCAAACCATCACATCCAGGTTGCACCTGTACAGAGTCGCCCACACAATGAAGAGACCACATCCTGTCAGGGTTAAAGACACAGAAGAAAGATGTAGATATGCCTAGATACAAAATGTTAACACTTCAAGATCTAAATTCAAAGTTCAATACTTCAGTCTAGTTTATTATCCATTACTAAAGACAACATTGTGTATAGCTATTGTGGCTCATTTATTGTGCTTGTCCGAATGAACTAAAAACATCAATAACCAAAACAAAAAATAAAGATTCAATCAATATGGAGCACTGACATGCAAATACCTAGACTAAATTAAGTAATATAATGAAATAGCATGTTACACAAACAAGATGGAATGCATAAAAACACTACATTGTAACAAAACGTATGTCCATTTTATCTATCATTTAGTTGGCTTCAAAGTTCTATTAATTAAACATACTTGATCTAGAAATATGTTATTCAGTTCAAGCTTATACCATATATTTATTTATCATATAAACTGATTTCTTTATTTATAATTTATTTTAATAATATAATTATGACCCATCTAATATTTGATAATGAACATCCAAGTTTATTTTAAAGTTACCATATTTCTTCATGTTTCTCTGTAAAACCCTCTGAGACTAGCTTGTGCCACAGGACAATACAAATAATTGAACTGTTAAAATGTCCCATGAATCTGGCTGCTTCCTGTCTCCACTCTCCTTCCAAGCATAAGATAAACATGTCGGAAGGGCTTTTTCCATCCGCCGTTCTCTCCTTCCTTTATCTGCCATGTCAGAACCTTTTAGGGCTTTGGCTCTTTGTGCAGGACAGCTTTTAAAATATCTAAATCTTTCAAATATTAAACAAAACTAAACCTCAACTAGCTTGTGTTAATGATTTACAAATACTTTGGGAACTTGTGAATTGAGTATAGATCTGTAGAGGCTGTGATAAATTAGACAATATTCCAAGCTACAGAATTATCACTACATGAATGCCATCAGCAGGTGGCACTGTGGATACCTGTCATCAAGAGGAGGCGCAACAGGATCATGTGCACACCAAGGGTGGTGGGGATGACCAGACCCAATAGCAGGGACATGCTCCCCAGATGGAAAAGGAGGTGGTGGGTCTGCTCCCACTCCTCGCAAGAGGTGGCATTGAGCTCCACAGCCGGGACTCCTGGAGTGGTCGGGGGGAAGGAGGGCAACGTGGTATAGAGGAGGAAGTGCAGCTCTGGGGTAGAAGACATCTTGCAGTAGGGTCACCTTGAACACTAGGGCAACATGAGAGAAAATGTGAGCAGTGAATGATGATTTGCTCAGGACGTATAGGTAACATACTTGTCAAATTACTATTTCTGCTCATGTATAGTTTGTTTGTTTGTTCTATTATACTACACTATTGTCTTGTTAGCAAAGATGTTTGAAAGAAAATGGTATATGCTTATCGATTGAGCCCAGAGTTTTTTTTTGCTTTGTATGTTTCAGAGATATCATCACTTTATAAAGGTGTTATGGTAAACATGTTAGCAAACAGTTGTCTATTTACACTTCCAGCAGCATTCATTTATTAATTCATTTGGAGTTGTGTTAGTGTCAACCTGATGAATGTTGAATATTCACTTTTCTTTTAGCTCTGGTTTGGTCTGAACCAAAAAACAGAAAGAACAGAAAATTTGGGAGTAATCTCGAAATATTCCTCTCGCCTTGCTGTCACATCATACAAATAACCTTAATTGCCAAAACTTTGCCAACACTTTTAGGGTGTTACATATTTGAAGAGGTTTGTTCACAAGTTTAACCAGATACAATCAGCCAGTGTATGGATTGCTTTTAATTAGCTGAATGTACACAGTACAGTTTGTGTTTGTGAATGTGTGCCAAGTATGTTAGTCAATCTTTCTCATCCAAGACCTAACCATGCTGAAATTAAATAAAACACATGTGCTAAATACAAATACAATGTTGGTTTGGGTAGGATGTAACATTTTATACCAGAGTCTTGCAGCCATAAACTAGCATACATGACACCTAACAACTAAAACATTAGCACTAAAAAGTTGCATGGAAGACATAACATAATAATAATAATAATTAGAACACATAATAAACATGATTAATGTTTGATACATTTAACTACAAAGCAGGCACTGCTATCACTAAAATAAATGAAGAAGAAAAAAATAAACTTGCATTCTTTCTTCCTCACGAAGAAAAAGGATTAAAGTGAGTAGCTTGTCCCTGCATGGAGAAATCCAAAGTGTTAAAACTATCCTTTGTTAAAACCAACACCAGTCTAACCTTCATGCTTTTTCACTGGAAATAGCTTCTTGTTAGTTTTTTTTTTAGCTTAGATACACTTCCAACTGGGTTACCTGTTGTCCCTTATTTTTAATTCTGATATGAGAGAATATTGATTAATGCAGCTTTAAAGGTGAAAGATATGAGATTGGGAGCATTTTGATTGCCTAATAATGGCTCTCAACATCGCAAAAGCAAGCCGGAGGCTCACAGCTAACGGTGCTAACGGCGCTAACAGTGCAAACAACAGCTATAGTGTTGACACAGTGTCAACACTATAGCTGTTGTTTGCACTGTTAGCGCCGTTAAGGGGGAACTAGATGGTGGGTCCTACGATTCCGCAAAAGCACTGTCGGTCAGGACAGCGTTATCAGCTGTAACACCTATGTGATCACAGTTCAGAGCAGCCGCCGTGAGCTAGTCAGTGGGGCACTCTCACATGCACGAATATGCACTAAAATCATGCGTGGCCTGACAACACAGCAATATAACAACACACAGAGGGAGAGCAGCTTCAATCTCTGCTCAGGTCGACATTAATCCACTATATATTTACACAGCAAATAGTTACCCACTGAACAACCACTATCTTTCGCACAAGCCCAATGCCAAACTTGAATGTGTTTTGTGTCTCTGTCTGACATATCACATACAAAAACACCTATGTTGGGTTACATTTGTTGTTAAAACAATATTGGCAAAGACCAGTTTATGTAGCAATGTCACATAGCAACCTAAACACATACCTCATATCATTCCACAGTGGCTTGCACAGGAAAGCTACTATATTTGGCTTCATCTGTTCTATTTAAAGATTAGTGTACACGTGCTCACAGAATAATATTCACATTTTGTTGAAAGATGAATATTCTCCCTGTGTAACAGTATCAGCTGCTGAGCTGTTTCTGTGTCAGCCTGATGTGCTCCAGCACTGGGAGGGCTCTTATATCAAAATAGATGTGGGGATAAACATAGAGGAATTTCTCATACCGACAACTTTCTAACTGCCCGTCAAAGTACCGAGAGGAAAACGTCCCGTGACTTACCGATTCAGAAGCAGTCGATGTTGCAGCAAAGTATGAGGAATGATGTCTGTGAAATACTGGAGACACTGCTGGTGACTGCAGGCTAAACCCTTATGGGGGCGGCTGCTCAATGTTCGTCGCACATTCCTCACAGCTGACATTGAGAGACTAAAATGGGCAGGAAAGAGAGAGCAGCGCGTCTGCACTGACTGAGAGCTCCGAACGGAGGAGACAGAGCACATATTTATCAGATATTATATATAATCATTATCAGAACTGATTGTAGTGTCACAAACACGTCAATGTATTACGATACATAAATGCTTATTTTTCGCTAGCGAATATGAAGAAATGGGCCATTTCAATATTCTTTATAATAGGCTTCCTCTACTGACCTATCAGATATGTGTATAGAAGAGAGGCATGCTCTCGTATTGTAGTGTTTAAATGTGTTTTGGAGTGAATCAACCCACTTTAATTTTGATCGAATTGGTGGTAACTTAATACATGATTAACTGAGTCAAATCTTCTAGTCTAGTCTTTGCTTTTTTTGCATTTGAATTTGTGCTAAAATGTTATGTATATTAAATTCTACCCCAACCTGTGTTATCTCATTAACATTTCTGTTGTCACGCAACACACACACACTACTCCAAATAAGAAAAATCGATATTGTAAAGTAAAGTATAATTTATTTTTTTACAGTAAAACAGACTAAATTTACATCCACATTTACATCTTAACAATGGAACATTGACTAGGCTGTCAATCGGTCAATATTACACATTACATCTGCAGCCACCTATTAATTTCACTTTATGTATTTAAAATATACTTATACAGTAAAGTAAGTAGCTGCTTTTAATTGAGGCATGACATTTACAAATTAATGCTGCTCCAAAAATAAAGTTGATCAAGTATAGCTGTTTGCCTTCCGCTTCAGCATAAAACCATTTGAACACACACAAACATTTACAAACTCTCCTCTGTTATATTTACGACTTCTTCTGTGGATGCATCAGCTACAACATTTTGGGAAAAACATGTATGATATCTTTCTGCTGGCAAACAACTGCCAGTCACTTTTACTGTGCACCAATAATGTATTAAAAGAACTTCCAAGATAGTATTTCATTCATTTTGATAAAAGTTGCTAACACATGCCGTAGAGGTTTGGGTAGGCATTGGGCCCATAGAGCATGAGCCTTAGAGTGATCCTTCTCAGGCTGAACTGCCCGACAAAATGCTACCATCTAACAGTAGAAGTAACATTGGACTATTTAGTAAGGCAAGTGAAATGATCCAGGGTCTCTTAGTCTATCAGTCACATTACCTCTGGTCTTACATGTCGTAGCTCATAATCAGGACATTGTAATTAGAAGGCTGGCATCTTTATGAAAACATCCACATCTTAAAATCATTAACCCTTCCAACCTTCCACTAATCTTGTTCATGAGCAATAAACTGAACAAATATTGCGAAGAAGGCAATGAGTACTAGCCAGTCAGAGGCACAGTAGGGGGGGTCTTCAGTGAATGCGGGTGGGAAAAAAATAAATCAAACTACCATAAATAACAGGCTGCATAACTGCCTATGGCTGTGAAATAGGTTATTTGGCATGCGGATGAGAGGGCACTTCAACATTTCCAAAAAGCTCTTACACACCTGTTGCTAGTGTGCCAACTACCCCCTACATGGTGCAGATAATTCCACACTGCCCTACCTAACTGACACTGCAAGGAGTCAGTTAAGTGTGTGTGTGTGTGTGTGTGTGTGTGTGTGTGCGTGTGTCTGTGTGCGTGCGTGCGTGCGCAAGTGAGTGTATTCAGGCAGTCCTTGCCCCCTGTACTGGCACTTGCAGGAAGACATCTGCCTTTTCTAAATCAGTCCCTGGCATGTGACAGTAACTTGGTAAGCGGAGATCGTATCGGTGCCCCGACTTGTCGAAAGCCTTGTCGTTGAGGGAGTACAGCTTCTCTGCAATGTCATTGCGCACAACCAGGGCAAATATCTTAGCTATGTAGCGATGCTTAGCAAAAAGCAGATAGAGCTTCTTCCTTCTCCACCCCACATATCGGCAGGGGTTATCAGCACACAGGGTCACCTGAGGAGAATGATAAGAAAGAGATCAGGTTGGCCTTAATGTGTGTCAGTTATGGCATCATTCCAGTTACCACAACATGGGTCAAATATTGTAGTTCAGCCTATAACCAAAGCTTCAATGGGGACGGTGGAATTGAACCCAAAGTAAAACTTAAAACAAATACTCACTTGAAGTTGACATTCTAATAATCTAAGTCTAACAATTTATCAAAAGGACTAATAATACTCAACTGGATTTGTTTCCAAAATCAATCAATCAACTAAATCTACTTTGACAGTTTTGTTGGTAAATGATGCATGGACCTTTAAGAAATGCTATCTCTCCATTGACAAAAACATAGAAAACATAATGCTGCACTAAAAGGATAAAGCAGGTGCTATTCTATATTTTTCTTATTGTCATAAAATCAATGACATGTGTAAGCAGGTCATTGATACTTTCATACTTTCCTTCACTGTCATTTGCTCTCAACTTTAAGCCCATTGGCTCCTGCTGAAGATGTAAATCTTAAAAAAAAGCAATTATTACAGATTCATTGAAAGACATTTTTTGGTAATTCCACTGTAGTTTGTAACAAACCTAACTCATGCAGAAGGAAATAGTGCATCTGTCGGGAAGTATTTTCAGCGGCAGATTGATTTGGTGCCTTAGTGAGTATTTGTGGCAGCAGTATGCGGGATTGATTAAAAAATAAACTACAGTGTGTGTGTCTGTGTGTGTTTGTTCATAGTAAAGACGGAAGAAGCCACCTAGTGCAACAATGTGGCTCATTGATGTGTTTTTAATCATTGTTTTTACAACAGACATTTGGACTCGTCGCAGCAGGTAAAGCACCTGTTAAACTAATAACATTAAGAATGGCTCAAGTCCATTAAGTCCATTCAAAATACCAGGACCCTGGAGTTGGCTCACATTAATGAATGCAGTCAACATAAATACTAATACTTTACACCTATTCTGTTCCTTTTCATACCATGACATAAATCTATTCAGATCTATGGCACAAATAAATAAAATACATCAGGAGTTGAATACACACACAATAATTGTTTTTATGAAATAATTCATTGTTTCCATGGCATTTGTTGACAAGATAAAAAATAAAGAATGTAACTGCACATGAAGTTGAGTAAGACATTTTTGTTGGGGTCATAAAAATAATTGAACCTTAAATTAGGGACAAGCAAAAATACTTGAGCTTGCTGACAAAAGGACTGTACTTGTATTTCTAGTCTTTCCGACCACCCAAAGCACTTTACCACTACATGTCATCATTCACCCATTCACACACTGATGGCAGGGGCTAGGTGCCACCAGACCTAACTCATTCACACACCATAGGCACAGCTACAGGAGCCATTTTGGGGTTAAGTGTCTTGCTCAAGGACACAACATGGACTAGCCAGGGATCGAACCACCAATCCTCTGATATCAGGACGACCATGCTCCCCATTTACATTTGTCAGTTATCAATGGCTGAATTGTTTTTTTGCACATGCACCATGCACATGACTAAAATGGACCTGGAAGACACCCTCTTCTGATGGTCTGAGAGAGTCCCACTCCGGTGAATCCAGAAACTGGAAAGGGTAGATGTAATGCAGAAACTCTCCATTAACTGTCACACGGATTCTGTCGGAGAGTGAAGTTGATATTAACAAATTCACTTTCCACTGGGAAACACATAACATAAAAGGCAAGTCAACACTTAATCTCACAGGACACAAAAACATCTGCTAAAAGGTTTAGCAGTGATACTGTATCACAGCAGGTGTCCTGCCTTTTAAAGCTGTGACATCAGTGTTTGAGGCTGTGACATTAAGTGCAACAAGCTACAAAGTTCAAATCTTTCCATCTAGAGGTGTGGAAATTTCTCGATTCTAAGATGCATGCAAATAGGCAGATATAATTAAGTACTATGAATTCTAATATATCAAAAGGCATTAACACTCATCTAACTCATTCTTTATACTTACAATTTGTATGACTTTTTCTTTTATAGGAAACAATAAATAATCCCAAAGGACAGGAACAATAAATTCAAAGGACAGTATTATAAATTAAACTAATGATTTTATATAGATTAACCTACTAAAATCATGAATTTTGGGCTGAATACAACAAGTCTCATCTGTATTTACGACGTAGTTTGATTCTGTATTTAAATGCTATTGGCCATTAAGAGAATTAATGTTACTGTGGTGACAAGTGACAGCTGACCAAACAACAGAATCCCTAAACCGTGAAATTATAATTTGGCATATTTAAACTAAATACACAACAACTTGCCAACGGATGGGGGAGCCCCTCCTAAAAGCTTACCCTACAGTACTATCATCATGAATATGACACCAGCGCTATTTAACCTAACTGAAGAAAACCATGTTTAAACTTAACAAAGATATTCTTCCGCACCCAATGCAAGTTCACCTGTATTTGAAGGTAAAGTGTCTCTTTAAATAGTAATACATGCCTAATAATAATAGTAATAGCAATTTCCACAGGGTGTACTACTACAGAAACGTTGACTCAAGTTTGAATTGAACGCTCCGCATCTGTTGCAGAGGATCCAAACCTCCCGTGCGCACCGTGGACAGCACCGGGAAACAGGCACCAGCTCGACAACAGCAAAGAGAAATCGTGAGTGTCAATTTGCTGGAATTCCAAAGATTAAAGCCGGTAAAACGTCATGCTGTGTTACGTGTTAATCTTCTATTGTGATTAAATGTTTAGCCCTGAACATGGCAAAATGTGTTCATGCAGTTTGGCACAATATCAGTGAAATGATCACCTGCCAGACAAGAGCACCGACAGTTTATCAATAGCGGTTTTCCCCTCTATGGCGAAACAGTGGTCCCTCTCTATGGTGTGGACTTGTCCGTCACAGCAGGCCACTATCTTCCCAAAATGTGTGAGTGACACTCCTAGTTTTTTAAACATACAGTTGTGAAGCTCCTGGAATTCCTTATCGAAGGAGACGCTCCTCAGCCGATAGGCAACATGCAGGACCTGTCCCAAGCACACGCCGAAGAGGGCGAAACTCCACAGGAAAGAGTCTGTGGTGCAGTAGTCCGACCATGCCCACAGAGTGGAGCAGAAGAAGCCCAGAGTCACACAGGTGAATAGATACAGTAGTCCATAAAAGCCGCTGCCGCCCATGAAGCCAAAGAACAGGAACATATTGGCGAGGTGGAACACAGAGCCCTCCGAAGTATCTCTCCATTCCTCACATAACGGGTACGCAGCAGCGGCGGCTTTCACCGTCAAGTTCATGTTTTCCAAATCTAGAGGCTCCATGTCTAACGTTTCAAAGGTGCGCAAAACTACCAGCACATTTCCACAAAGTCATCCAGGGTCCCTCAGAGCAAATGGGGCTCAAAATAGACTGCATGTAGAGTCATGTGGGTAACACCCGTCATCCAGTTTGTGAAGCGGACTGAACGGAAATACGACCAGAAAAGCCTCAATGGAAAAAAATAGAAAAGGAAATGCTCTGGAGTTTATTAGTCGGGAAAAGAATAATATAGACGAGCCTAAATACTTCTGTGTTACCATAAATGGTTATGCTTTGTACATATTATAGTATTTTGGGCAACAAAGACATTTGTAGTTATCCAGATTCTAAACTAAATGCATGTTGCCTGTAATTATCCAAATGTTTGCAGTCAGTTGTTCAATTTGAGACTATGGACTGTTTCAACGGAATTGCATTTACTTCATGTCAATTTATGTCATTCACATACACTGCAGCAGGAAATAAACAGGGACACATTAGTAGTATTAGTTTACGTTTAAAACTGTGAACCAGTCTATGCCATGCTCTAATCAAAATAATAATTATTTTATTAAGTTAATTAATTTAACAGTCTAAACGTGTGTGGTGAAGAATACAATTAAAAAACAATATAATAAATTAATATAACCATTCATTTATGAATAATAAATGAGTGAGCAGCAGTGCATCTGAGTCAGAGAGTATCAGAGAGAAACTGCACCGATTTCCCCTCATTAATCACAACTCTGAAGGTTTATAAAAGTAAGTGATCGTGTGGGACCAGAATAGCAGGAGCCATCCCTCTCTGCACGTCCCTCTGTGTGCGGCTCAGGTGACTTTGACTACCTGCTAGATGGGAGAAAGTGAGTGTGGGTGATATATATCTGGGGCAGCAGAGAAGGACAGCCAATCCCTGGGCGTGTTTCACATCATGTCAGACATAAGGAGCTAGTGCAGAAACATTTCCATCGGGTCTGGTTCTATATTGTCAGATGAGGGGTAATGAGCAAGTGTAGCAGTTGTGTACTCTCTCGGTTGCGTTGTGTTTAATTCAGGCACACCTGATATCTTTATGGCTCCAACCAGACGTTTATTCATAGCACAGCATATAGCTAGACAGCTCATCTGGTAAAAGACAGAACAGCTTCAGTTACTCTCATAGACAACACGTCGTGGTCACAAGCTCCGGAACACTGTCAAATTAAAGAGACAAATACTTAAGCTAGCTGTTGTTAGCATGTTACTAATGCTAAATGCTAAATGCTAAATCAGTTATCAGTTAAAACCATTTGCTCTAGAAATTATAAATTAAAACAATTATACGAACAAAAGGGGACTTATATATATATATATCAGATATCGAATGAGATGTTTCACAACGGAGCTT